GAGAAGGAAGAAAAGTAAGAGGAAACTACGTCTAGTTCATACTTCCTTTCTGTCTTTTTATCTCTCATACTTACACACCCCATTCTCACTACATGTTGTGGTTCTTCTGACAAATCCAGCTCTCACTTCGAAAGGGTGAGGACTGGGTATTATCATACAGTTGAGACATTACTGTGTTAAAAGAGGACAAGAGACTGTTTGCTCTTTGGGTGCTATGTCTGCAGTGGAAAAGCAGCAAACAGACAAAGGAAAACCAAACCTATCCTCCTCAGCCACTGCTTTTCTCTTGAACATCGTACCTTACTCTGTGCTCCACATCAGCAGTGCCTGGCTTTCATAGGCTCAGGTCATTCATCACATTATTTATTTACTTACATTTCATATTTCTAAACCACCTATCTCCCTCAAAAAGGAACTCTGGGCAGTGCTGTTGTCTCTGTTCAGTCACTAAGTTGTGTCTTTGTGAATCCATGGATCACAGCACACCAACCCCCACCCCTGTCCACTCTCTCCCAGAGTTTGCCCAAATTCATTTTCATTATCTAACCATCTCATCCTCTGCCATCTCCTTCTCCTTTTGCCTTCAGTCTACAATGCAATACAATTGATAAATAAAGCAATGTAAAAAATAACGCTAAAATTAAATTAGGATATTTTTTAAATTATAAACTAATGACAATTAAACATCAAAAGAGTAAAATGGCCATTTAACATTGGTTATTACAAGGCAGGGGTGCTCTTAAAGGTCTAGTCATCCTTGTATGGCCCTCTGTGCCCCACACAGAAGGCCGCAAAGCCAAGATTTATTATGCTAGTTGACTTATAATGATGGGAGAGACAGATTGGTTTACATACTCAGGTTTATGGCTTGAATTATCTTTAAGCCAAACAATTGAACTTTAGTAACAAACTACAGTAAAAACATTTCCTAACATACTGAAATTTAACATATGAGGTCAACTATTGACTATTAATTATTGCAGAATATGTACATTAACATTGAAACAGTTCTAATTGGCTTGGGCTGATTTTGAAAAAGCAAAACAGGTTCAGATCTGTTTAGATGGGGAGCCATCTGAAGTTATGACGGCTTTAAGCTAGGCTGGGATGTTGCCACCCCAGATGAGGGCAATGAAAAGTCCCTTTCTTATTATTGTCAAGAAAACCACATGGACAGATGGCTTGAGAGGTTGCACATATTTACATATGAAATATTTATGTAAACATTTGATCTTTACATATGTCAGATCTTGCACAGTAGCGCATCTTGAGGATGCAGTCCTGAAAATTATAGCCTATGTCCAGTGATGAGATTCAAATTTTTTTACTACCAGTTCTGTGGGCATGGCTTGGTGGGCATGATGTGACTTGGTGGTCATGGGTTGGTGGGCGTGGCAGGGGAAGGATATTGTAAAATCTCTATTCTCACCCCAATCCTGGGGGAAGTGTACTGCAAAATCCCATTCCCTCACCACCCCACTAACCTGCTTTCTAGCTCCGTTCTCCTGTGCAGGGCAACAAAAGAAGACCCAGCCAATCAGCTGGGAATCGGGAGGCAGAGAATAGATGGGGGCGGGGCCAGTCAGAGGTGGTGTTTATCAGTTCTCTGAACAACTCAAAGTTTCTGCTACTGGTTCTCCAGAACTGGTCAGAACCTGCTGAATACAACCTCTGCCAATGTCTGAAACAATGTGAAATTTCAAATTTCAGGTATTTTTCAGATGTTTTCATTTTTTCTTTTTACCAAAACTGAGGGATGACTGAGATGGAAAATTTGCATTTAAACATTTTATTTTTATTTTTTAGGATTGGATTATAGCTCCAGAGGGTTATGCTGCATTTTATTGTGATGGAGAATGTTCATTTCCTCTCAATGCTCACATGAACGCCACAAATCATGCCATAGTACAGACACTGGTATGTTTCCATCTGTGTGTGTGTGTGTATGTGTGTGTGTGTGTGTGTGTGTGTGTGAGAGAGAGAGAGGGGGGGGGAGAGGGAGGGAGGGAGGGAGGGAGGGGAGGGAAGGAGAGAGAGAATACACAGCTGGCAGGGGAATTCTGGGAGTTGTCATCCACAAGTCTTAAAGTTGCCAAGGTTGCATACCCCTGCTCTAAACCTTTAAGTAGCCACAGGACAAACGTTGGGGTTTGTTGATATTCTTATTAAAAGCACAATATACTTTTCACTGCAAAGTATTAAAATCAGAAACATTTTGACTCTCTCAGCAAAACAAAAACAAAATCAACGTTACTGCTCATTGTAGGAGTCATTACTACAAATTATTGAGTGAGTAAAATCACATTGTATCTTCTTGTCTTTGAATTTCAGGTCCACTTAATGTTTCCGGATCATGTCCCAAAGCCTTGTTGTGCTCCAACCAAACTGAATGCCATCTCTGTCCTCTATTTTGATGACAGTTCCAATGTTATTTTGAAAAAGTACAGGAACATGGTGGTACGATCGTGCGGATGCCACTAGGATTCAATTGCAAAACAGAGCATCGCAAAGTGGAAATTATCCAGTTATTCTTTTCTGTTTCTTTTTTGGCGTAGAGGAATTGGAATGACCATTTCACAACATTTCTCCAAGAAGAGGATCAGTTCATTCCGACAGAATTCTGGGGCTGAAGTTCTTCCTCTATGGCGTCCATCATACCGAAAACTGGACTGCAACTGGGTTCTTGCTATTCCCCCCCCATACTCTAGGTACGGCTTCGTTCGTAAGCATCTTGGGAAGGAAATGTGGCTGTTGCAGAGATCAAGAAAACCATAAAAAAACATTAAGAGAAACCTCTGCAAAGAAGATTTATTTAGGGAGATAAGAAAATTAAAAGACAAAAGAAAGATACAAAAAAATTTAGATTCTAGCTGTAAAATGTAGAGTAAGGCCAAGAGTTTCTTTTTTGCTTTTTTAATGGAGAAAATAAGAATATTAGATAACTTAATCCCACTGATGTCACATCTCTTCTCATGTACAGTATAATGTATATAGTAGCTTTTATTTATTTAAAGGTATATCTTTTCTTTTATATGAATGTCATTTCAAATGCTTTATTATATAGGTTTATATATAAATAGTAGAACATTGAAAGCAAATTTTGGTACCCATACTGAGATTTATTTCATTTTATAAAATAAAGCTTTTGTATACTCTCTCTACTCTCCCTCCCTTACCTCCTTCCTCTCAAGGTAAAAAATCCAGAACTCCTGTGACTATTTTATATTGTTAAAGGAAATTGAATACATTTGTCTACATTGTGCCAACGAAAACTTTGGCTGGCTATTTATTTAGAGTAAGCACTGAGAACATTTTTTTTAAATGCTTAGCTAAACACAATTTTCCTTTTAGAAGTTCTGCCCCATTAGGTAAAGTAAGTTGAACTGTGTTTAAATAAACAAATGGTAGCTAAATGCAGTGGGCTGAAAGATTGCGCACAATTGTTGGGGCTGTTTTCTCTAGAATAATAGTATAACTGTAGGAACCATAATCTCCTTCTCTTTGCTTGTGGGTTGCAGCTCTTCCTGGAGGTATGAAACTTTGGGCATTCTGCCAGTTGCCCGTGCCCAAAATTTAGTTCTGACTTTGTGCGATGGGAGAGAGGAGAGGGGAAATAGTGTACAACCTTCTTACCTCAGGTAGATGTGATTGATCCATCATCTCTAACATGGCTGCAAAATGTGTGGTTCTTAGACTGACTCCTCTCTAAGCAAGAGATCATGAGATGGAAATGCATTCGATTTCCAAAGGGCATTATGGAATTTAAGCAAACATTCCATTAACCTATTCCGTGAACATTACTACTCTATCCATATCTCCTCAGAAGTTCCATGGGATCTGCTGCTGGATACAGTTGAGCTTGCCTGAAAACAGAGGGCACAGTTACTTGGACTTGGACTGTATTTCTCTTCCTTAAGCAATATTTAATAAAACTGTTATGGTATAACGAAGCATGGAATAATGTGCTCAGCTGTTTATCACATTTAATAAAATTCTGATGGTGTGGATTAGAGGAAATACAGAATAATGTGCTCAGGTGTTATGACACGTTAGAGAAATGAATTTATCTCTCTTTAACAGGGTTAAAATCTTGATGTAGGTTTGTAATTTTGTTACATTAAATCTGTTGAAATATTATACTCTTGTGCTTTAGAGAGACATAAGGCATGCATTGCCTTTGATTCTGTTTAATTTGTCCATGAAGTTGCCAAAAACACAGCTTGATGTGAGGACACTTTTATCCTAATTTATCAAAACTTTAATTAAACTGTAGTACACATATTCCTGCGGTACATGTAGCCACTCAATGTCACCTCGAATCCCAAGATGAGTGGCTTATAAATTTGATAAACAAACAAACAAATAAATCCCTACAGGTATCTCCTACAAATTGCTGTTTTGTCAGCCCTCCCAAGTAAATTAGATAGGAAACAAGAGTATATTCTACTGTAATTAAGCAAATCAATTCTACTCTATTGTAAGTCTACTTTAACAGAATCTTGCAAATCTGAAGGTATAAACTTCCCACTGGCTCTTTTAACTGCTTGATCCATTAGGGCGGATCCTTCCTAAGTTTCTTTCTCTGACCATTAAGCCACTGGAGGCTCCTGCCTCTCTTATCTCATTGTTTCGTAGGCAGCATCTCTTCTCCTCTTAATGTCATTTACACATACCATTACATGCTTTAAGAAATGTTTAAAATTAATTTGGAAATTGGTTAGAAAGAAAACGCATTTGTTTAAGACTTAAATAGAAGATTATGGTATTTGGAGCTGAATTTATGTTAAATAAAGGTTGAAGTGTATTTTGGGGTACATTAAATAATATATTTTGGAATAAAGGTGTACCATTTTCAGTACATGAAATGGAAGATTATATTATGTTCTGTTGAAATATAAGTCTATATTTTATAACCTAATAAACCTGAAATACTAGCTGGTTTGCTATATGCCTTTTCTCTGGGATTACATTATCTTGATTAGAAGTGTTGTGTTCACTTGAAATAGCCCCTTATTTAAAATACAGAGTTGTAGTCTTAAGATTTGCTTTCTGTCATAAAAGGAACATTGCACTGAAGAAAGTTTGCTCAGAAAGAATACAAATCAGCAATGGGATCCTACCTGTTCCACTACCGGTTTGGTGATCGCCTGCATGTGCACACTCACCTAATGCATGCGCGCAGCTTTCCCCACGCCAGCTGACAACTGCAGCGTCAATCAGAGGAGAGGATAAAGAAGAGAAAAGTGCAGGGGCAGGTGGCAGGGCCGATCCTGCACTTTTCTCTTCTTTCTCCTCTCAGCTGATTGTTGGAGGCTTTTTTTTTTTTTTTACTACTGGTTCGGCTGAACCGGTCTGAACCAGTAACATACCACCACTGATACAGATATGTTATATGCACTGAAGTAGCTTAAGACACAAAAAAATTGACAAATCTAACCGTTTATAACAAGGGTTGAACAAGAAAAGAGGAAGAGAAAATGCTCCTCTGGTGTACTGCTACCATTGTTCTGTCTATTGCAAAGGAGAGAACATTGGCACAGATATTTTTACATGGTCCACTATTGGGAGTGGAGTGGCATGCTGCATGTGTCCAGGCATGCTTCTTACAGTAACTGATAAAACGGGCTTCATGGGTCTTTTCCTTTTGATGGAAAGAATAAATCATGTAAAAAAAACCCAAAACCCTGTTGTAAGTCAGTGCCTAAGATCAGTGCACCCCAGTTTTAATCAGTTTAAACTTTCCAATTCCTCGTTAACCACTGGAGCTACTTAACATATTCCCCAAAGAGCTAACTAAGCATGTACTGAATTAAGGGAAAGCATGTATCACTATGCCGAAGGCTGAAGCTAATTGTTTTTAAGGGGTAACTCCCAATTGACTTGAGTCAGTTTAGACTGCCAGCTTATTTGGGGGAAGAGAGACCATTAGTAAAGTACTGAATACAATGGAAAGGGAGGAGAGGAGAGGAGAGGAGAGGAGAGGAGAGGAGAGGAGAGGAGATTATATGGTTATACAATTTAGGTCCCACCCATAATTACTGTGACATTGGACTTGGAAAGATGGGGTATTTTTCCAGGATCTCAGGTGGAGGAAACATCCTGTTCAAAATTTTCTGTCCCCCAAATCCTGGATTTCGTTTAGTATTCTCCTCAGTTCTTAGATGACATTTCTTTGAATGTAAGGCATAAAAAGATTTCCTATTTTTTAATTCTTAGGTTTCTTGGATAAATTAAGCCAGTGCTAGTCAGCAAAATAATCTTGAAATATTTTTCATAGATGAAAGATAACACCTGAATGGACTATTTCATCTATAAAATTTTACCCTATGAAGCAGAATTAAATGTCAGGAAAGTTTTTAACTTTTTTTTTCTTGTTTTATCTCCCTCTGCTTCTGCAAAGTCATTATTTCTTGAAATTCACAGGATATATCATGCATTTAGGGAGCAACATATGGAAGCTGATAAACTCACAACAAGGGTGATATAAATAATAGCGCAAGCCTCTCTAGAGTTTAGCAATAGAGACATGAACATCTGTCTCCAGCTGTGCAGCTATTTCTGAATTACATAGATCAAGCCAGGTTGGGCAGAAATGGTAATTATTTTTGTTACTGACTGGAAGATCAAAGGTTAGTCTCAAAAAGTAAGGACAAGGGGACTGGTATCTAATGAAAAGATTTATACAGTATGTAATTTAATGTACAGTTTTCACATGAACGTCATGCTAATGTATATGAATGACAGCAAAAACAAACACTTTGATACAAGATTAATTATCACTGATGAAAAGTACATTTGACTCTCTCAATAATCCTCAGCAGCAGTAATTTTTCCAATATTACCCTTGCAAAGAATCTAGCTGTAGAGATCTGTTCTGGCTGTATCATTGAACAGATTATTTCCTTCAAAAACCAAAATTAATAAATCTGTTTCAGTAAAATTGGCAGTTGGGGCACACATCATTTTTGTATGACAATCTTCTGCACTTTTTAATGCAAGAGCTGTTATTCTGTAAGGATAATTAATCCCTTTTTCTAATAAACCTCAGCATCAGTAGAAGAGAGGTAGAGTTTAGTTGTTTTCTGAACCAAGCGGGATTCGATCAAATGCTTCCTTTGTATTGTCGGACACTTGTTTTTTTTTATAGCATTAGCACATTGGGGAAATATTGCAAAAATAATATCATCATAAAAGAGGGATCTTAATACTAATGATTTAGGTGCCAAAATACAGGACAAAATATTCAGGCACTTTCGTGTCCCCCCAAATTAATGAGAGTAAACTTACTCTCATTTTAATGTTTAGCCAATGAAATCCCAGGCAAGGCTAACAATGTGTCCAGTGTTATCCATAAAAATAAAGGAAGAAGGATTTTCCGTGGGAATTCTGATTTTTATGTACACTGCTTTGCTGTTTATTAGTGCTGGTAAGATATTTTTCCTTCATATGTGAAGAAATCTATTAATGAATATTGCCTCCATAGATTAATGGATTGGCAGGTTAATGGAGAATCCGGGGGGGCGGGGGAGAAACAAAACAACTCCATAGTACTGACTAAATCTTGTTTCACAATCCAAGCATCCCCATCTTATTCTATAGGTGGCCAAACAGCTCGGATAGAACTGTCACTTACTTTGTTTGATTTTGTGACAACTCTCATTGACATACCGACCTGCTGTTCTTTTGAGCTTGGATTCATTTTGTATATTGGAGACAATTGAACAGAATTGTAATATTGAAGTAGTGCACCCTTTCCAAACCAAAGAGAAAAAAAACTCATGGCTGTTATCACTCAGCTAAATGTGTTTCAGTTTTGGAGCATCTTTTGCTGGATATGAATTATTAAGTTATGCGGATGCACCAAGTGCAGAATCCAATTAATCTACCAACAAAGTTTATTTTTCCATTCCCTGTAACTATGTGAAAATGTCAAGTTTTGAAATATTTTTCTTCATGCAGCTGTCAAAGGGGGGTGGGTGGGTCTGTTAACGAAGACTATCATTATTTAGGAATGTTTATGGTCACTGGCCTTTAAGAAAGGTTCCTCAAAGGGCAGGATGTGAATGGTTTTGAGGGAAAGAAAACACAACTCACCCATCCGCACATGAAATCCGCCCCCCCCCCCCCACCCATGCCAATTTACATTTAAGAATTTTCTGGATTTCATCTATTTAAACTTTAATCAATAGTGCTAGCTAGTCACGGATTTCTATACTTAATAAATTCCTTCAGATTAAAGCATTTGAAACTGAAGTTTGTTTCCAGATTTATTTTGTTTTTCTTCTACATTTTCTCTATTTATGAAATATGCTTAGCACATTAGACCTTTCCTAAGAGGTGAACTCAGACATCCAGTTAAATCTGATTGTCATTTCTTGTTGATCTATTCATATACGTTCCTTGAAGTGGCAGAAGGAGCACTGTTGTCTGTTTTTTAACATTACTTCAAAATAATTCAAAATGTATATAGGAAAAACACATCTTGCATTGCCTTGCTGAAGTATTGCTCTAAAATGTATTGCACCCAGGTGTTGTCCTGCCTGCTGACATATCTTATTTCTGATGATGATTATGAATAGTGAAGATCCTTGTCTATTTCCCTTGTTCTGCAGACTTCAGCATCACAGAAATCCTGTAATATCTCTCTCCATCCTGTTTCAGCTTCTGTTTCATAATTTGAAGCCTCCCAAGGCAGCAAACAACACATGAAAACCAATTTTAACTACATGTTAGAGGTTGAATCAAGATCTAATCGTTCTTTGAACAGACCAACTGAAATGAATGGGTGTTTACTTACCATACATGCCTATTGATTTCAGTGATCCCGTTTTAAGCATGATTAAATTTTGATTTCAACAATATAGCATCAAAAATGGCACAAACCAGTGGTGCATTTCAAAATAGTTTACCACCGGTTTGGTGGGAGTGGCTTGGTGGGCATGCTTTGCGTGTGCGCACACACTTTGCATGGGCGCACCAAATGCGCATTTGCATAGGCATAGAGGTTTTCTGACTTACCACCTGCAATCCTGCACTCTCCCCATTGCTTCAACAGCTGATGTGGGCCCAACAGCAGTTCCAGTAGCTCCACAGAGAGAACTGGTTTGGTCTCTGCTGATCTTCAGCGCTATCGGTACACCAGGACCGGGCCGAACTGGTAGAATACCACCACTGGCACAAACAATACCAGAATACAAGTATAATGGAATACAAGCAGAATCATTTTAATCTGAAGGCCACAACCAGTAACTTTTAATCAAAAGTTTACATGGCAGCCTTCAGGCTGTTTTAAACCTTCCATTGTTCAGTTACCACTAATTTTTGATATATTAATTCAACATGGGGGCAGGGGGGTTGAGCATGGGTGAAGCGGGAGCAGAGGAATGTTCGGAAAATCCCCAAAGATTTGGAAAAATTCAGTATTAGCCATGTACTCCAGATGCACTCACTATCAGCCTTGACTTCATTCACTTCCACTTGTCCCACTTACATACATGCACCCTACACACCCAGCACACTTGTGTGGCTAGATCTTTTCAAAACACTAATCTTCCATCTATTTCAAGTAATGATTTCCACTCACACAACTGGAAGAAACCCAGTGTTCATCTAGAATGCTTCATGACTAGCAGAATCAGAAATACTTTAAAAAAAACCTGTCATGTGCACTTATATATGTGGATCTGTTATGCTGAGCTCAAATGGCCCTTTTGGGACCCAGATCAAACACGATTGGGTAATGTCTACTGGTATATCTGTTCACTGCCACATTGCCATGTGATGATGTCATTTTATGTTTCTTCCTTCTATGAGAAACTAATTCCAGGACCTTCTTTGAACCGAACAGACCCTTCCCCAACAACAAAGCTCATTTACAGATCTTTACAATTAATAA